TTTTGTTGTTGAGTTGTTTCAGTTATATCCTACTCTCCATGACCCTATTTGAGATTTTCTTGGCAAAGATACTGTGGTGTTTGCCATTTTCTTCTCTAGCTCATTTTATAGATGAGGAAACTGAGGCAAACAGGGTTAAGTGACTTGCCCAGGGTCACACAGCTAGTAAGTGTCTTAGAATATACTTGAACTCAAGTTCCCCATGACTACAGGGCTAGCACTCTATCTACTATGCCACCTAGTTGCCTCTAGCAGAACTAGAGGAACAATTTATAAAAGGAAAACTATTGTACAATGAACCAAGACAATTCCAAAAGATTCATAATGGAAAATGCTGTCCACATCCAGAGAAAGAACTGTGGAGTCTGAATGCAGATCGAAGCATACTATTTTCACTTTTTTTTTTCCTCATGGCTTTTCCCTTTTGTTCTGATTCTTCTTTCACAACATGACAAATGTGGAAATATGTTTAACATGATTATACATGTATAACCTATATCAGATTGCTGTCTTGAGGAGGGGAGGGAAGGGAAGGAAGGAGAAAAATTTGGAACTCAAAATTTTATAAAAATGAATATTAAAAACTACCTTTATATGTAATTAGAAAAAATGAAATACTATTAAGTGCAAAAAAAGAAAAAGAAAAAAACAATATCATACAGACAGATGGCTTTGAAAGGCTTAGGAACTTTGATCAACTTAGGATGAAATTATGTTATCCACCTTCTGATAAAGAGGTGAAGGACTCAGAGTACAGGATGTACATACATACATACAGACATACACACATACATAACTGTGTGTCTGTGTTTGTATACACGTATGTATGTGTATCTCCAATGCAGAAATTTGTTTTGCTTGACTGCACATGCTTGTAACAGGGATTTTGCTTTTCTTTCATTTTCAATTGGGGATTTGTGAGTGGGAGGGAGATAAGCTTGAGTTTTTGCTGATTGAAACAAAACAAAATTTAATTTAAAGAAACAGGATGCCACTTAAGGCATTGACACAAAAGTAGAGAATCCAGGAGATGGACTTAAGAATGGATTTCTCACCAATGGATTGAGGTTACTCTTTAGAATGAAGTCTACAAACAAACTAGTGTGTGATATTGGGAAGAGAACACCGGTTCTCAGAACATGAAGTCCTGGAGGTATAGCTCTAGTTTGCCTTATAAGATTCTCATCTAGAAAGCACTTCCACAATGAGTCCACAGGCCATCAAGAGAGCCCTCTATTTAAACATGCAACATCCAAGACTTCCACTAATTCACAATGTTCACCTATCCCTTTTCTCATGCCTATGATTAATTTTTTTTATCCATTCATTTCTTTAGGTAAGTATTTGTGTGACACAGGAGTCTGTTTTATGCTTTGGGATATCTCATTTTTCCCATCTTCAACTATCCTTGAGAACAAGATCAGTTATTGGGGAGGGGGAGGGGAAGGAACAAGAATTCATTAAGCACCTAACGTGCCAAGCACTCTGCTAAGCAGTTTATAGATATTATCCCATTTGATCTTATTAACTTTTTGTCACCATATTGAGTGTCTAGAAATGAAGGGATTGTTATACACAATTGTCAACTTCCATTAAAGTTAGTTTCCGTTGAAGTGGAAATAATTCCTTCCTTCCTTCTTTCCTTCCTTCCTTCTTTCCTTCCTTCCTTCCTTTCTTCCTTCCTTCCTTCCCTCCTTCCTTCCTTCTTCCCTCCCTTCTTCCATTCCTTTCTTTCTTCTTTCTTTCTTTCTTTCCCCAGCATTCATCATTGGGGATATAAGTGCCCTCTCAACACTTGACACATGATAGGTGCTTATTAAGCCCTTGTTGACTTGACTGGACAAACTGAGGAATTTTCTCCAAAGTGTCCAAGCATCTCAACAATCCTCCATGTTGGTTGATTTACACATATGCACACAGTTGGGATTAAGAAAGGGCCCTTAATTGTGTCAAGAGTAGAGTTGAATTTCACCAATACCAAGGTCGTCCTTCAAAGTGAAAATGAGTATCATAATAACCAAGTTATAGGGTCAATTTGGGAACCATGTTTCCCATCAGACACCAACATTTACTTTCTTTCTTATTCCAGGATTATCACAAATTCTTAAATTAGTCATGAAGATAGAGAGGACTAAGAGTGAGAATGCGAGAAGAAAAGGCCAAGAGGCAACCTTGAAATTTGGCTTGACTGTACCTTATTTTGTATAAACAGCCCTCCTGACAAAGGGCTGTCCTTACAGAACCCTACATGAAGTCATGGGTAGGGTGATCATGAAAGATCCCACTATTTAAAAAATCTCTCTTGCATGCCTCTGCCTAGAATTTCCACCATCAGAAATTCATTCCCTTGGGTTAAAGTACATCCATTACCTGGGTCCTCTTTGAAAATTCAAAAGTCATTGGAAAGTACTTGGAGATAGAGAATCCCAATAACTGTTAGTTTACTGCAAAAATAATGTGAAAGAACAGCTAATTAAAAACATACAGATTCTATGTTTTATAGGGAAGAAAAATATTAAAAGTGTGTGTATGTATGTGCATGTGGATGCCTGTATGTATGCTGAAAAGGGGATGAATTTGTACTAATTAACCACATCTCCTGGAGAAACAATTCATAGCACATGCCTTATTGACAATAGGTAGGCCAGAAATAACCACATATTTTATTTTTTTAATCTTGCCAACAATACATTAAGCATGGATGAGGCATCTTTCTAAATCATATGGCATTTTTCAGAGATACAGGGCCTAAGGAAATAATGACAATGTGACTATGTCCATGTTTTAAAAAACAAAAAACAAAAACATACGACAGACAGAAAACTGTAATTGCTTCTCAGAGCAAGCTGGCCAAAGTAGAGACCAGAGAGAAGTTAGAACATTAAGCAAAACAACCTGATAAAAAGTATTAAGATTTATCACAAAGATCAGAAGCATCCAAATATATTTGGAGAAAGAGAAAAGCTTCCTTTATCCATTCAGGGTTGTTATAATAAAAATAATCATATAATAAATAATAATAGTTATCATAAACATGTACTCTTTTTCTAAATACTGTTTAGCAAATAGATATTAAAAGCTAATTCTGTGAAGTTAATGACACTTACTTACCATATCTGAGCTATCAGCTATGGAAACTTTCTATATGCTCATTGAAGAATTTTAAAATTAGAAGTAGGAAAGGGGTTGAACTACTGTTGGGAGCTATGAGGTAAGATAGACTCCCTCTATCAATGTATAATCTTAGTTAAATAGAGCCCTGAGAAATTAAGTGATTTCTTCAGAGCCACACACTTTTAAAATTTTAATTTAATTTATTTTTTTAATTGTCAGAGAAGAGTCCCAAACTCAGGTCTTTTCTAGATCAGTTCTCGATCCTCTACTAAGAATACACCACTGGAAATTCTGGATAATCAAATTCCTAGCCTATTGAGGATCTGTCAACTATACTTGATCTTGGAAAGATTGTATTTGTGGTGCTCAGGAAAAAAAGTTTGGGGCGATTCATGACTGCTGCAACTAACCGGAAGGTTCCTTGATTGACGGGTGTCCTTTGCAAACTCCTTGGGAAGAGAAGGCTTGACCTAGGTAAGCTTATTTAATGCTATGGGGGATTCACTTCATCCACTGCCTACCTGAACGAGTTACAATCTTCCATTACTGGAGATCTGTCTTTAACGGGATCAAACCAGGGAGGGAAACAGAACCTAATATTGCTTTTGAGGTTTTATATATAGCTTAGATATATTTTAAAATTCGATGAGACTTCTGGCACATATCTAACAATGCCTTAGCTTTCCCTGTGAGTTTAGGAGTTGAGTTGCAAAACCTATATCCTTTCATTCTTTTGTTCTTTCATACTCAGTTGCCGAAGGGTGGTCTGGCAGGAGCCTGCACCATAAAATAACTGTGAAAGGATGGTACTGCATTGTAGCATTTTGGAGAGCTGCTATGGACGTGGGGCGAGGGGGACAGCTCCCTTCTGGGTGGGTAGAAAGGGGAGGTGGCTCTAAAAGCCCATTTCAATCCACCTTATCTAGCTTGATTATTTTCCTTTTTAGGAAAGATAGACCCTTGTCCATAATACCTAAGCCTCCCCACATAGTAATTATTACAGGGAATGACCAAACTCTTGCATCCCCGAGAAGAAGAACATCATGTTTCTTTTCAATGGTGCAACAAAAAAAAAAAGAGAGAGACAGAGAGAGAGAGAAAGAAAACAAATCGGGGGAGAGGAGAGCCAAGGGCCCAGCTTACAGGCTTCCTAAGGCAACTTGCGGGCTAGGCTGATCAGCGGAAAAGAGAGGTGGGGCTGATGAGACCGGGAAGCGAGGGAGGCCTGGGTTAGTTGGAGTGCCTGCTGAACAGATGCATAAACCAGCTAGGGAGAGCGAGAAGGGCCGAGACACCTGTCCCGGGAGAGAGGGTGGAAGAGCTGGCCAGCAGGCAGGTGGGGTGGGGTGCACGGGGCAGAAGGGGCTCCCCCAGCGGCAGCAATGCAGCAGGAGGGCTGCCGGCGGCGGGTGGTAGCCACAGCAGCTCGGGGACACTAACGGACCGGCGTGTCCCAACCCATCCCAGCAGGATCGGGGGGAGCGAACCTCCCAAGCCTTCTGGGCTCGGCACGTTTCTTTCGGAGGGGAGCTCCAACGCATCCCACCGTCCAGCGCCCGCAGGGGTTTAAAGTGAGGGTTTGGGGGGGAGGAGCAGCTACCCAGGAGGAGCCCCAAGAGCGTGGCAGACCCGGCCCCAGCCCCACTGCGGCAGCAGCGGCGCCCCACCGCCTCCCGTGCCACCCCAGAGGCCGGTGGCTGCCATGGAGGGCGCAGCACTGCCAGGATGAAGGCGCGCAAGCCTCCGGCCGCCCTCCGACCCTTGCTGCCCCGGGCAGCGAGCGAGCCGGCTCTGCGGCTGGGGCTGAGGTGGGGGGCGGACAGGGCGGAATGGGAGCGGCAGCCCGCGGCTACCTGGCCGCCCGGCCGCCTGCCTCCCTGGCCTACCTGCCCACCTGCGGAGGAGGTCTGGTCCCCACCGACTGACGTCCGGGCTGCAGCTCACCGTGGGAGGCGCCGGGAGCCGTCACAGCCGCAACGCCGCAGAGCCCGGAGCCGAGCCTGGAGGGAGGACGGGGAGGAGAGGGAGGAGGGGGAGGAGGGGGAGGAGGGCACTGCCTTCAGGAAGAGGAGGTGGGATTTGCTCAAGCCGGACTCTGCGTGGTGGGCGGCCTCCCGACTCCTCCTCTTAGATAGAGAGTGTGTGTGTGTGTGTGTGTGTGTGTGTGTCTGTGTGTGTGTGTGTGTGTCTGTGTGTGTGTGTGTGTGTGAGAGACAGAGAGAGAGAAAGTGTGTGTGAGAGTGAGTGTGTGTGTGAGAGACAGAGAGAGAGAGAGAGAGAGAAAGTGTGTGTGAGAGTGAGTGTGTGTGTGAGAGACAGAGAGAGAGGGAGGGAGAGAGAGGAGAAAGGACAGGTGGAGAGAAGCAGCGGGGACCACCGCCCCCCTCACCGTGGGCTGGGTTACGGCCGGGGCTTCTCTAGGAACTGGAGGGCGGCTCCCAGACACAGATTTCCATCGTAAGACTTTCTCACTGGTTGCTGGAATTTTAACAAAACCAAACCTGGCCCTCCTCGAAATGGTTTTCCTCTTTTGCCTCTCCTACCTCCATGATCCGGGATTTCCTCTGCAATTCCCTCTATAATTCAGAAATAAAGTCTTGGGGGAGTTGCTTGAGGGTCACAGAGGTTTAAGGGATTTTGGCATGGCCACAAAGTTTGACATTAGTCAAGACAGCGGAACTCTTTGAGCACCTACTGTGTGCAGGGAGCAGTGCTGGGATCTGGGGATACCAACGGTCCCTGCTCTCAAGCAGCTTCCATTCTACAGCATACTCACGGAAGATTAGGGATCCTTCCAGAACCCCAGACAGTGTTTGAAGTGCATTCAGCTAAAGCATCTTCCACTTTTCACTGGAGAGTGAGGAAATGTGCCAGCTGGAGGAGAGGAGAAACTTTGACTTTGCAGACCTGAGAACCAGGACAGAGCCCTAACTGGGATCCTTCTCCAGTGGATCAAGACAAACCAAGGTTAAATTACTTGACCAGGGTCATACAGCCAGGAAGTGTCGGAGGCCAGATTTGAACTCAGGTCTTCCTGACTCCAGGCCCAGTGCTCTATCCACTGAGCCATCTAACTGCCGTGTCTAGCACATAGTAGGTATTTAATAAATATTGATTTGACATCCTGGACCACAGTGAGAAGAGCCCTATTGGGTAGTCCACAAAGATAATCCAGAGACTACTAGTGGCAATTGGACATGAAACTATATATTAAAAATAAATGCAAGTTTAGTCAAAAAGAGAAGCATAGTTAGTAAAGGGGAAGCAGGATTTGAACCCATATCTTCTGGCCTACAAATCCAACAATTTACCAACAAGCCAGAAACTGTGTTAGGTTCTGGGTATTCCAAGACCAAAAATGAGAGTCCCAAGCTGCTTCTCCAAGTCAACAAAACATGACATTGAATCAAAATCCCTCGTCCAATAGTCACTTGAACCTGGACTGTTGTCATCTTTTCTTGCTGGCCTGCCAACTTTTACCTAACTCCTAAACATTTTGTTCATTTAAACTTAAGGTCTACACCCAGAACCCATTATTTCATATTATATTATAATATGTTATTCTATTATATTATGATACATTATATATAACACAACATATTATATATTATTCTATATTATAACATGTACAATATATGTAATGTATTATATATTATTCTACTACTTTATGAATTACCTTCTAAATAAATATTCCACCAATTTCTGATGTTTGCCTTCAAATTTGTCCACTCACTGTCTACACTCTATCTGATTATTCTGATTACTCCCCCTAGTCCAGCCTAGAACTGGGTTAAAGTTTCCTTGAATTGTGTCAGGTTTCTGTTTTTCACTCAATCTCTATCTCTTCTCCTCCACCCACCTTCAAGCCCAGTCAATGCTTACATCTTTCTTCTTTAACACCTAGCCCCACAAAACATCTAGCCTGTTCCCAAAGTCCACATTGGCCATAATCTCCACAGAACTTTTCCTTAGGGCTTTTAGTTCTCTTGATGCTAATGTCTCATAAGGCAGAATGCTGCTTGCCAAAAGGAGACTTCCTGAAGAGGGATGAGCTATTTTTGTGGGTAGGCTTACTGTCCTGGCTGCTCCCATTACTAATAATACCCTCTCATCCCCTTGGACTAGTGAAAACATAGCTCTGACCTCAGTGGGTGTGCTGTGATGAAGGCCCTTCTTTTCTATTTTAATTTTCTCTCTTTCTTTTTTAAAAAAACTAACAAATATTTATTTTCTTCTCCTCCTATCCCTCCTCTTCTTTTTCTTTTTTCCTTTCTTTTTTTTTTCCTCCCAACCCATTCTCTCCCATGGGAAAAAAAAAAGAAAAAACCCTGTAACAATTAGTGAAATTGTCCTTCTTTTCTTATTACTCATTCATTCAAAAAAACATTTATTCAGCATTTTCTAATTGCAGTGTTCTTGTGCTAGGCACTGGGGGAACTACAAAGATGAATACAAATAAGGGTCCTTTGCTTAGGGAATTTATACTCTAGTAATTGGAAAAATACTTGTAGCCAATTTCTCTCATAAAGGTTTCACATCTAAGAGTATATAAAGAACTGATTTAAATGTATAAGAACAAGAGCCATTCCCCAATAGATAAATGGTTAAAAGATAGGAACAGGAAATTCTCAAGGGAAGAAGTATGAGTTATCAGTAACCTCATGAAAAAATGCTCCTAATCATTAATAATTAGAGAAAAGCAAATTAAAGCAACTTTGAAGTTCTACTACACATTGATCAGTTTGTCAAAGATGACAAAAAAAAAAGATTTACATGAAGTGATGCCAAATGAAGGAAGAAGAGTCAAGAAAGCAATATACACAACAACTACCAGAATGTAAGTGGAAAGAATCCACTGCAAAACAGTAAAAAATGAATGTAACAAAATGACAAATAACAAGTTTGACCCTAAAGAAGAGCTACAAGAAGACATCTCCCCTACTCCTTCATAGAGAAGTTGTTTGGGAGTAGGGTGGCGATGCTGTCCATGAATCTGGGATGTTGCATGAATTGTCAGATGTTTTTAATGTATTAATGGGATTAGCTGATTTCCCCCCCTCATTTCTTCCTATTTTTCTTTTTAAAAGAATTGTTTGTTATAAAGGATGAGTCCCTGGGAGGAGAAAAGAGAGGGACACAAGGAGAAATTTAGGTAATATAAAAATATAATATAAAAAAAGAAAAATAGGTAATATAAAAGGACATCAATAAAAATTTTTATGACACCATTTTCTTTATTTGTACAAAATAGTGAATAGAATAATCATACCCTGACTGGGAAAAAACGGTGATTTAGGGTTTAAACAAGTCCTGTCCTGAAGCATCTATTTTGAAGGCTTGGGACTAGCGGCTTTAGCCCCAACATCTTTGGGTTTGGACTTGGCAGGCTTGGGGTCAGCAGGCTTAGCAGCCTTGGAATCCCTGGGCTTTGTGGCCTTAGAATCAGACTTGGCTGCCTTGGGATTGGACTTGGAAGCCTAGGCGTCAGATTTGCTGGCCTTGGGGCCAGATTTGGCAGCCTTGGGATCAGACTTACTGATCTTGGGGGCAGACTTGGCAGCCTTGGGGTCAGTGGTCCTGGCAACCTTAGAGTCAGGCTTTGTGATCCTGGGGCCTGGTCGTTTGGTGCCGACTCTAGGACCTGGATTCTTGGTAGCCATCTTGTGGCCAGCACTGGCCTTGGGGGACCTTGGGCCTGGGGAGCTTGGCCGTGGAGGCCTTGGTGCTCAGGGCCTTGACGGCTCTGGCGTTGTTGGCCTGCATCTCCTTCAGCCCCTTTTTGTTGTGTTTCTTGACAAAGCGCATGTTTCTCAGAAACTTGGAGTCAGCCCCTCTCAGAGACTCGTATCTCTGTGACTTGGTTTCTTAATGCCATTTCTGTGCCATTTATGGGTGGTGTGGGCCCTAGACTTGGCCATCTTTACACTGCAGCCTGTGCTAACGGGCTCTCCACTGACCGGAAGAGGCCAAAGTGAGAGAGAGAGAAAAGCAAGAAGCGAGTGGCAGTGTGGGAAATAAGGCCAATAAAATCATTTAAAAAAAATAAAGAGAAAAAGGACCCATGTATACAAAAATTATTATTGTAATAGCAAAACACCAGAAACTAAGAAGTGCCCATTAACTGAGGAATGGCTGAACAAAGTGTGGTCTATGAATATGATGTAATGTTATTGTACAGTAAGAGATAACAAAAGGTTATTTTTTATTATTACACAGTAAGAAAAAAATGAAAGTGAAACCTGGGAAGACCTATATAAAATGAGCAGAACATAGAGGACAATTTATATAATAACAACATTTTGAAGGAAAACAACTTTGAAAAATTCAATTATGTGACCAAAATGCAATTTCAGAGGACATGTGGTGAAGAATGCTGCCTGCTTCCTGATGAAGAGGTGAAGAATTCAAGGCACAGAATAAGAATCTTTTTTTTACACATGGCCAATATAGGCATTTATTTTGCCTTATTACATTATTACATAATACATTATTATGGATTCTTCCATATGGATTCCTCCTGAGGGAGGAAGGGAAAAGAAGGGTAGGGATAAGGTAGAAAAAGATAGATAAATAGGAAGGAAGGAAGTCATTGACATTTTTTTTAAATGTACAGAAGAGAATAGAAAGGCCAGACAGAATCAAGACAGACAAGCAGGACAGCTTCGAAAGTTCCATGTCGAATCTATTAAATATCTTTAAAGGAAACAAAGCTATAGGTAGTGGTTGTGGTTTCATGTGCATTACTCTTTTTAAAATTCTATATTTGTAGCCCACATAGACTTGGGGGTCCTTATCCTTTCTCATACTTTTCAGGGCCCCAGAGCAAGGCTGGCTATATCTCCTCACTCAGGCTCTAGGGATACCCCTAAGGGGCATCCCCATGTTCCAAGCTTGAGCCCCACTCTGTCAGTTTTCTCTTCAAAATTATTGGTTGACCCATTGATGAGCACCCCACTATC